GGGGACAGCTTGAGGCTCTGTCTCAAAGAAAAAAAAGAAAAAAAGAAATAGAGGACTTTAAAATATGATCTTGGTTATAGATAGGAAAAGATAGATTTGATAGAATGAAACATAAAACAGAAATAGAAAAACAGAAAGGCAAACAATAAATCTTGGGGAAAAATTATAACATATGTAACAAATGATTAGCATTTAGTGCATAAATAAAGTTTATAAATCAATGGGAAAACAGTACACCAGAAGGGAAATGGACAAAGGCTGTGACTGATCCGTTTTCAAAAGTAAATGGTCAGAAAGTCTAGATGAGGAAGAAGAAGAAAAAAAAGTTCACCATTGCTATAATCAAATGACAAACAGTATAAATGTTTGGTTCTTTTTTTTTTGGCCTGTCAAATTGGCAAAGATTCAAAAATCATACCAGCAAAGTTCAATTCAGGGTTTAGGGAACTGGGGTAGCCTCATGAAATGTACTTGAAAATTAGTACCTATTAACAGTTGTCAGAGAAATATTCCATATGTATGAGAAGGGGATATATAATTATAGTATCTTAATAAGAATAAATGTTGTGTAGCCATTAAAACTAATATAGTAAACCATAGTTGATGGCGTAAGGAAAGTATTACGTGAAAACACAGAATCCAAAACTTTAGGGTGGGCATGGACAACAGAAAGAAAGAAAAAATAACCTCAAAATGTTAATGTTGGTGATGTGGTTATGAGTGATTTTCATTTTCATTTTTATGACTTCAATTGTGAAGCACCAAAGATATGTACTATCTGTTAAACAGAAGAAAAACTTAAATTTTTAAAAAGCCCAATTAATCAGTACATGTAGGAGACTGAATTGAAATAAGATACCTCTGCGTATTGGCCCTGAAGGCCTCGAGCTGGATTTTACTGAAGGTGTCATATATGTGAATCTGCTAAGATAAAAGCTATGTGCATGTAAGACAGCAGTCGTACAATTCCTATGGGTTGTTTATTGGTGCAAAGATCTCTCCAGCCAGGAGGCCTCTTGCTGTGCAGAGTGTCTAAGCAAAAAAGAGAGAAGGAGAAGGAAGAAGAAAGGGAAAAGAAAGATGAGAATGGAGTGAGTGCAGAAAGAGTTCTACGAGGAGGCACCAGAATGAATGTTAAATTACCTTTGCATGTCGAGGGCTGTGTTGAGTATCTCTGGCCATTGTACAGAGGATTTTACCTGATACATTTCTTCTTTACTCCTGCCTCTACACTTGCAAACACTCAAAACTGTTGCCCCATGTGTAGAGTTGGTCCTGCTAATTCCCCAGGATCCAGCAGCAGTAGATCAATCCTCAGGTCGATCCCAAAGCCTTTGGCTGTTCAGTTGGCAACTTAGGATTCTTATCAGAGCTAATAGCCTGACTCTCAGTTACTCACTGGGTTGTGGGTAAATCACAAGCAGTCCCCCCTTGAGGAAAGTGTTGGGGGCCCCTAGTTTATACTCACCAGACAAATATTGAGAGTTACACATTTCTGCTGGTGGAATCTTCAGATCTATTATTTTTCATATTGATAAGAAATGTTAATAAATGGATCTAATTCAAACCAGTGGCAGGTGTGAGTAGGTAGCTTGTGACTTATCTAATGCACAATTCTGTTTTCAGATGGTGTCTGAGCTACAAGACCATCTTTTGAGACACCTACAGGGTGTAGAAAAGAAGAAAATTGAACAGATGGTACTGAGCTACGTTTCAAAACTGGTTAGTTTTGCTTTTTGTTCACACACACACACACACACACACACACTGTATATAATTCCCAGAACACGTTTCAATGAACTCACTTGTGTTTTTCAAATTAGGTTTTTGGAAATCTCCCATTCTTAAGCCACTACATCTGGTGCTGTAGAGCTAGGAAAGAGTAATAAGAACCACAGACAAAGAGAACTTGATTTTGACAGTGGCTTATTGCCCTCCTTTCAAATAGTAATTATATACTCACCAAAGCATAGGACAATGAATTTAGTGGGGTTGCCAAATGTTGACATCTCCTCTTGGCAATTCTCAGATCCTTATTTAAGAGTACGTGGGGTTTATGTGCAGACATGAGAGAACTTGAACTTCAATTCTTCATTAGTTCTAATAGCCTGTCTAGGCCAGATTCTGGCTCAATTGTATAAATACCATCACATTGGAGTCTACTGATGTGATTGGAAGTCCTTACCTGGTAGTCAATTGTTTAATTGTGTGATCAATATTAATAACACCACTGCACAAGTAAACTGAAGCTACCAGACTAGATTGAATTTTAAGGCTGTCTTGAGTCTTCCAGAAAGCATATAAAGTCCTGATCCTGAGTAGAATCTAGAAAGAATATTTGACACACTTAAAAAAAAAATTGGACAGATAAAGAATACTCCATTATTTCTCCAAGTTTGGGCAAGACCAGTATGCAGATAAGCCAGTGTATGAACATGTATTTTTGTATCGTATTCTGAAAAATGACATTTATTAGATATAACTTGATTTAATATCTTCATGTTTGATCCTAAAGTTTTCTGCCTTTATTGCAATCATTAGTGTCTGTTTTTAAATAATACATTTCAGTCTCTATAGTAAGTTTGAGTTTCATAGTTTTTAATATATTAGGAAAGGTTGGTATTCTCTTATGCCAATATTTATAATCAGGGCATTGAATCTTTCTTAAATTTTCTTCTCATTAGAACTATACCAAGCAGCTCACTTTGTGAATGTGTTACTGATCCTCCCCGTGTTGATATTAACTTACTTTCTTTTTTTTTTCAACTCCTAACACACATTATTTAACACACCCACCTATCATCTCTCTCTGTTGACTTTGAATATCACCTTCCAAAGTTAAGAAGGGTTTTCCCTCAAGCATCGTTTTTCTCTGTAATCACATAAAAGTTTTACTACTAGTTGTGTCAGTAACCTTTATAACCAAAAGGGCCAGAAATGATACATATGCAGTCTCCCAAAAACCCAGTGTTCATGGCTTTCTGACTCAAGGCAGACCTCCCTGCCCAGCAGCTACCAGCTGGGCTGCCTGTTCCCCTTGAAGGAGGGGCATTAGGCAGCCTTTCCAAAACACATCTGAGGGAGTTGCTGGAAAACCTGATGAGACTGATTACATACTAACTTACCTGATTTCAGCCAAAGAGAAACTGAGAATCTGTGCCCTTGAGGATAGTGTTTGCCTGTAGTCTGTGGAGGTCCTTTCTGCTTTCCCCCCATTGTTAGCCCCACGTGCAATACATGGATTCACGGCTGATAATAGTTCTGTACAAACTGCCTGCCTGCTGGAAAACTTGTTGCATTGGGTTTCCTGGGGAAGAGCCAAAGCAGACAGAGTTATGTACTTTGGTTGATGGTGATCTCGATAAACTGCCAAGGCAAAGCAGGCAATCTACTTTGCTCGGTTATGATTGTGATTTATTGATCACTTATGTTCCAGTCAGTGTGCCAAGTAGTTCTTACAACAGCAAGCCTATTGTTTCCCCTTTGTTTTACAGACGAGGACACTGGGATAGATAACTTGCCTGGGTTTACCTGATAGTAAAATAATAGTAAAATAATAGACCCGGGACCTGATACCAGTCTCACTCCATAGCTCAGGCTCATGACCTCCATTCTGTTCTGTATTTTCTTTCTTCTGTCAGTTCTTGGCTTGCAGTGTAATAAGCCTACAGCAAACCCAGTGGTACTTGACCTTCACTGATGGATGGGGCCTGTAAGAGTGAATGGTGGGGCCAATTAGCCAGGAGGGGAAGCTTAGCTGGGGCACTGCCCACACAGACAGAGGGTGCTCTGTTAGGCCCTCTCATACTTTTTCAGTCTTTCCATTTTGGATTCCAGTGCCTCAGAATTGACCCCAGAAAGGCTGGTTGTGTGTCTGGGCACAGTCTGAATGCCAGCTGCCCCGAATGTGGAAGGATAGCTGAAGGGGCCCTGAGGGGAAGGATGAGAGCCGTGGTTAATGGACTGTCTTTACCCTCTAGCTGGATGTCATTTGTTGCATCCTGGAAACCATTTGGAGGAAACATAATCTTCATTCCTGTGTTCTCCACTTGTACGCAAGTATTTTGCACTCTCTTTTATCATGATGTATACAGTGCCAAGAAAGCTGATTGCTGCCTGTTTGAGCGCAGCTCTTTTGAAACTTAGTAGTTCAAAGCAGCTCTCACCAGCTACGTCACCAACTACCATAGTTGTATACTCAGCATCCAAAGTCATGTCCTGTTACTTCTCCCATCCTCTTTCCTGGCACATGGTTGATGATGAGGGAGGGACACGTGAGGCCAGTAATGCCAAGAAGGGGAATTTAAATTAATTCATGTGTATGTGCCTACTGTCTGGTTAGATTCTAGGCATTAAGCTGATGGTCACTATTACATTTATGGGGCTTTCTACAGAGCACACATTTCACAATTAGCATGAATCCCCCATATATGATACCCAGAGCCACTGCTTGGCACAAATGGGGTTTAGAGAAGAGCTCCGTGGCTGACACACAGCTTTGTTATCTTTACCCAGCAACAGGCAAGGCAGTGCTGGTGAATTCGCGGTCTTTCACATCATGACCAGGATTTTGGAAGCTACTAACAGTTTGTTTTTACCCCTTCCTCCCGGTAAGTCTTGGCTCTCTTGTCCTTGGGGTAGAGGGTTTGCTCTTTCTTCTTCACGCGGGCTCTGTACTTTGGCACACTGAGTTTAATGATGAGAGAAATTGTGTGTCTGGTGTCACTGTGAGAGATGGGCCCTGAAGTTAGTCTCCTCTGACAGATCCCTCAAACTATGTGCAGCTGGGACTAACTTTAGAGAGCCTAGGCTGGTCCCCATACAACCTTGTAGAACAATCTGAAGCCGTGGAGCTGCTTCTGGGAGCTCTTCTCTGATGTCTCCAGGCCTGGTGTCGCTGATGGAGGTGTCTGGAGGTTAACACTCAGAAGGGAGCAGGTTTGGCTTGCAGCCAAGAATTGAAGAGATTCTTATGTGCTTGGAAGCTAAGAATTTCCGTTAGGATTCTGAAACAGGATCATATAATTTTTGGCCATTTGTATATCATCTTTTGAGAAATGTCTATTCAAGTCCTTTGCCTTTTTTTTTTTTTTTTTTTAAAGAGATGGGGATTTCATCTCCAGTGACCCTCCCACCTGAGCCTCCTGAGATGCTGGGATTACAGGCGCGAGCCACTATACATTACGCTTTGCCCATTTTTTGATTTTGTTATTTGTTTTCCTGCTGTTGAGTTGAATTCCTTATGTGTTTTGGATATTAATTCATTAGATATGTGGTTTGCAAATATTTTCTCCCATAAGTTGTGCCTTCACTCTTTTGATTGTTTCTTTTGCAGTGCAGAACTTCTTAGTTTAATGTAGCCCCACTTACATATATTTACTTTTGTTTTTTGTGCTTTTGATGTCATATCCGAGAAATCATGGCCAAGACCAATGCCGTAGAGCTTTCCTCCTGTTTTCTTCTAGGGGTTTTACAGTTTTAGGTCTTACATGTAAGCTTTTAATCTATTTTGAGTTCATTTTTGTGTATGGTAGAGGTAAGGGCCCCATTTTATTCTTTGGCATATGGATAATGAGTTCTCCTAATAGTATTATTGTTGGGACAGAGTCTCACTCTTTTGTCCTGGGGTAGAGTGCTATGGTGTCATAGCTCATAGCAACCTTAAACTCTTGGGCTTGAGCTATCTTGCTTCAGCCTCTTGAGTAGCTGGGACTACAGGTGCCTGCCACAATACCCAGCTAATTTTTCTATTTTTAGTAGAGACAGGGGTCTCACTCTTGCTCAGGCTTCTGTCAAACTCCTGAGCTCAAGCAATCCACCCACCTTGGCCGCCCATAGTGCTAGGATTATGGGGGTGAGCCACCACACCTGCCTCCCCTAATATTATTTATCAAAGAGGCTGTCTTTTCCCTATTGTGTGTTCTTGGTGTCGTTGTTGAAGACTGTTATCTGTATGTAAGTTCTAATGAGTGTTAAGCTTTATGATAGCTGTAATAACAGGATATGTATCAGCTGGTTTTATTTAGTTAATTCATTCGTACATATCCATCCCTCTATCATTAATTTGTTCTTCATTTTAAGTCGAACACATACGTGTACCCGTTTTGTGACAGGTACCGTTCTAAGTACTTCACATAAATTAGCACTTTTAATTTTCATAATAATCCTAAGAGGTAGAAACTTAAATTGAACCACATTAAATTGTCAGTATCTAACCAGTTTTTGACCAACAAAAATGCACTGTCACATAACATATAGTCTCAATATTACTCCCAGTACATACATGGTGAAATGAAGGCCAGAAAAGCTAAATAATTTGCCTGAAGTCATGTGGCTATTAAGTGACAGAGCCAATATTCAAATTCAGGTAATCTAGCTCCAAAATCTGTGCTTTTAACTACTGTCCTGTTAAATTTTATGTTCCAGTTGAATTAGTCAACGTTAAAACATTGGCTATTTATGGGCCCCCAAATTCCCACAGTATATGCTATTTTCTCCATATACATGATACATACAGTTCAGAATCCTTCATGCTTCCTCTGTGTATACACTTTATTTTAAAAGGTTGTCTGTAGCACAGGTAGAAAAGGAATTTCCAAAAGGGATTTGAAAGTGACCATTTGTGAGGGGAATGGGTAGTTTAAAATTATCCCAATGGAACATGAATGATGACGTACACTTTACAAAGAGTGGAGAGATTTCATGAAAACAATATATGGCTTTCTCTGGCTTAAATTCTTTCTAGTTTTACTATGTTGCTCAGGCAGCCTCAAACTTCTGGCCTCAGGTCATCCTCGTACCTCAGCCACCTAAGTAATCTGGCTTAACTTCTTAATTGTTTCTTGTTAATACAAAAAACTTGGCAGGGGAGTGGATTGATAATTTCAGATTTATTCACTATGGATGTTCAATTCCTTTTTAAAATAAATGAAACTGACTTACTGGGGACATTATTATGCCTAGCCAAGCATAAAAATCCACTTTCTACAGAACTGACATTCTTTAACCATGATGAGGAGGGAGACTTAGGAAAGTGTTCTCCACAGTGATTGAGAATTATTATGAGTAGACTGAATTTCGCCTTGTGTCTGTGGGTCAAGTAAGGAAAAGCACTTTCTCTCTCCTTTTCCCTTAAATGTTTCTCCTTTGCATGATGTAAAAATAGCGAGTGAAGTGACACTGGGTCATTTGTGTGTGTGCATGAGGCCAGGGTGCTTTTATGTCTAAATGTGCTTGCTTTCCAGGCCTAATAGACTAGTAAGGACTGTGTGAGTTCCGAGTAGCAAAGACTTAGGACTTGGTTGGGTTAAGAAGGGAATGAAGCTCACAGAAAGGGAGTCATGGTTTAGAGTGAGGGCATTTGTTCTTTAAAGAAGATTGGTGTTCTGGGAGCCCTGGAGGGCGAGGTCTAAAGCAGGATGGAATTGGTGCCTAGTTATAGCCAATTTGCTTTGATGATCAGAGCTGACTTTGGGAAAGGAAGCCAAGAATGAGCTGAGCTTGGGACTGTGCCCTAAAAATAGAGGACGGGGTCACCAGAAATCTTTAAAACATTGACACAGGCTGGAGGAGGAATTTTGAATCCGGGAAATCAATTAAGACCAATAATCTAGTATACATTTTTCTTTAGAAATAATCTAACTTTTTTTTAGTTTCGGGAAGAATTTCCAAACTCATTTGAAAAATCTCATGTTTATTAGTAAAAATCATGATTTCTTTTGATTTAGCAAAGCTGGTGGACTCACCCTGTTGTCAGCCCATTAACATCTGCTTGTGGGCAGAGCGTGCCCTTCATCTGACCCTTGATATTACCAGGACCTAGGACTGTCCCACTGCGCATGATTTATGTGCTCAGAGAGAAAATTCCAGATTACTCTGAATCCACGCCCCTGCTTACTAGGCATCGCTCCTTTGCCATGTGTGTTGCTAAGAGTAGACCATTCCCACATTTGGTCAGTCACCAAGCCTGGACCTGTCACGGTGCCTCTCTGGCTCTTCCCTCTTCATTCCCTGCTGATGCCTTCATCACCTGCGTGGGTGTTCCGGCAGTAGCCTCCTGCAGGTCTTCATACCACCTGTGAAAATGGCTACTCCAAGCCATTCTATACCTCTTGGCCTCTTTCTGTTCTGCTCAAAAACTTCAGTGCCTCCCAGAGTCTCCTATGTTAGTGAATTCCTTGCTGCTACTCAGCATTCAACCTCTGTCACATGGACTCTCAGCACAGAACTAGTCACATTTTTAAAAATGTGATTATTTGATTGTCTGCCTTCACCCCCATGAGACCACAGGTGCCCGGGGGCAGCAACTGGCCTGTGCCGCTCATTCTTGTGCTCCTAGCCCCTGCCCAATGTACAGAAGGGATTCGCTGAGTAAATCAGCCTCTGCAGCTGACCTCTTAATCATTCCTCTCTCCCACAGGATTCTAACTCACCTGGATCGTTTAACATGTCTTGAACATGCCCCACACTTTCTCACCTTTGGTTCCATTGACACAGCTACCAGTTACTGAGGAGGGATGATGTTATGATTAAAAGACCAGCTGAAAACCCCATAGCCTGTGTTCAAATTTCAACTTGCTACTTACTATTTATGTCATTGTGAACAAGTTTCTTGGCGCCTATGAATTGAGTCGTTCCCACCCCATGGTGCGAGGCTCACATGAGCCAGTGCACAGATAGAAGGCTCTAGTACGCATCCAGTATTGGCTATTGTGTGCCAGGCTCTTTATAGATAAAGCTGCAGTTTTCAAAGCAGCCCTGCGGGGAGGAGGACTAGTGGTTTCATTTTAGGGATGAAGAAATAAAGGCTCAGAAAGCCTTGGTAACCTACAGCAGGGATTGTCACCTAGGTTGTCAGGCCAACCCTGGCTTTTTCTACTGTTTCCTCCACTCAGTGTATTCTCTTGCCTCATTTCCACTCCTAAAAATTACATTTATCCTTCAAAGCTCCCTTCAAATGCCGTTATTTTGAATAGGGCCTTTTCTGATTCTCTCCTGGTCTCATATCTTCTCCCACGCATGCTGCTTTCATTTTTTGTCATTCATGGTTTAGGTAGAGCTCTGGGTTTGTGTGGTTAGCACTCCCATGAGACCTTGGCTTGAGAAATCACTGATCTCTCTATTGAATTCCTATAGAGTAGGCCTTAAACATTGTCCCCTTCCAATCCAAGTGTTTTTCCTTCAGCAAAATGGTCCCTATCCCAATAATTACCCTGGACATATGGAGTTTGGAGCACTCTGTTCTCTTCTGCTGTCTGACTATAGAATTATAAGCATATTAAACTTAGAAACCAGTTTTCATTGAGCAGGTCTTGTCCCCCCCTTTTTTTGTGCTGAGGAAAGGACCCAAGGAGAAGGGACTATATACTTGGGACTTACTGTATATCCAGCACGATAGTTAGTTGTAACAATATAAACAAGGAAACTTAGACCTTGTTTTCAAGAAATTTAGTTAGCCGGGCATTGTGGCGGGCACCTGTGGTCCCAGCTACTTGGGAGGCGGAGGCAGGAGACTCGCTTGAGCCCAGGAGTTGGAGGTTGCTGTGAGCTGTAATGCCACGACACTCTACCCAGGGGGACAGCTTGAGGCTCTGTCTCCAAAAAAAAAAAAAAAAAAAAAAGAAATTTAGTTGACTCCAGGTGCCAAGCACTGAGCTAAGTGCTCTATTGACACGATCTAATTCATCCCAACTGCAATGCTTTAGATGTTGCTGACCGTGTTGCCCTCCTGGATCTCTCATCCTAGGTTTTCACACTCTGCACACCATCCTTGGGGTCCACTGTCTCCCTCTGCATAACCTGCTGCATTACATTGATAGTGGAGTGTTGCTTCTCACCGAAACAGCTGTCACAAAGCTCATGAAAGGTAAGAAACCCTGAGTTTGCTAGTCCCAGCCGGAGCATCACCTGGGTTGGCTTCTTGGTGTGCGACCTGTGTAGTCACATAGGGCCTGGCCACACTCAGAAGGGTCCTATGCTCAGTTTAATGCTCTGCATGAAATCTTGAAATTGTCAGTACTTGCATTTGCACTGGGTCCCACAAATTGTGTAGCTGGTTCTGTGAGCACAGCCCATTTTCTGTAACCATCCTTTGGGCCAATTTAAAGTGCCTTAGCCCCCAAGAAGTCTCCAAAGGACTTCTCAGTTCACACACAACCATTGGACTCCTTTTCTGTATGTAAGGGCACTTGAGATTAGGAGACTTTATTAGGTTGTTTCTCAAGAAAGAATGGCCACAAAATGGCTTCCTTTCAGCTGATGAGCCTTGTCATCTCAGAGTTGGACTTGAAATGCAAGAAAAATAATGAGAGATATAATGCTTATGTGAATTTGAACTTTAAATGAGGTCTGTAGTATGATAACTCTTAAATTATTCTTTATGATATTTTAATATGTGAGTTTTGTTAATATAGACTTTAAAGCAGTTGCCATTCCTCAAGGGTATCTTCTGTTTTAGGTTAGTTGATAAAATTTCTTTATGTCTGAAAAAAAACCCTTTTATTTGTAGAGTGACAAACTATAGTTTGCGAAGTGTTAGATTAGCTTGAGAATGCAAGGTTGGGGATGTGCATTATCAGGATGAACCACTCAAATATTAATACCTTGCTGACGTAGTAAATGGATATTCCTATTTTGTTTGCCAATTTCCTACTTTCTTGTAGATCTGGACAACACAGAGAAAAATGAAAAACTAAAATTCAGCATCATTGTGCGGCTTCCTCCGGTAATACTGAATAGTATTTTATTTTCTCCCTAAGCCTAGGCATGACCCTCCTTCAGTTACTTCTTGCAAGAAGGTTTACTTGCTTTGGGTTAAAGTCGATTAAATTGTTTCACTTTTTTTATCCTTTCCAAGAAATCCCATCCATCTCCACCCTGTCAGCTCTCTCCCACTGGACCTACAAAGAGCTTGCTGTGCTGACTTTGCACTCGCTTGGCATAGCCGAATGAGAACATGAGGCATTTTCTCCTCTAGGAAACCACACTAATATTTACATCTGAGCCTGAGCAGGAGGGAGAGGGGAAACACGTGCTTTTGGCATTTAAACTGATAAGAAATTTAAATACAGGTGAGGTCAGAAGGTTCTGGAACTGTATTTCCTCCTACTGCATTTCTGTTATGGCAGGAAAACATTCCCAGGTCAAAGGAAAAATGAGAAACATGAGGGGAAGATTCTAAAGGCACTCCTTTTTTATGTGTGTGGGATATTAGCTCACTGCGTCAGAAATATTATGAAAATGTGAAATTCCACTGCAAGGTTGTCCAAGCCTCTGACTCGGCAAACTTCCTGACCCTAAGAGCCTCAGCCAGCTCTGGCCAGTGTTTACATACCTTGAGCACTTATACCCCTGGCACCATCCTCCCACAAAGGGCTGCCCATTGCCTTCCTGGACCTAATCATCTTGCTCTTTAGCAGCCCCTCCCCCTCAGGCTTACTGAAGCAAAGGCAAGACTAGAAAACAAAGCATATTTTCCATAGCTAGATTTCTCCAGGGAGCATTGCTGAACATCCAGTTTGGTCTCCAAGTTTGATTTTTCCCCCCCAGCACTCTAAGGGAATTAAAATCTTCTGGGCAAGACGGTGGCAGAGAAGTTGATATAAACATGCCTACACCCTTTCGTTTCCTGTCAAAACATGAGTTAGAGTTGGCACGCACATCTCTGGGTTCGAAGAGTAGCAGATAAACTCCATTTCAGAAAAAGAATCTGGCAACATCAATGTATAAACTGCTTTCCTCCAGGTAGTCTTTAAGGGAGCATTTATTCAAAATTTGGGAGCATATCTTATAGGAACATGGCCTTTTTTCAAGGGTCATTAGTCATGAAAGTCCTGTCTGTTAAACTTACTAGTTGCTTTAGGATAATACTTTGTAAATTCTGAATAGATATAAGGTATATTTATCTAATGCAGAGATATACTCTCCTCCATGTCTTTTTCAATTTGCATAATAGCTTATTGGTCAGAAGATCTGTCGACTTTGGGATCATCCTATGAGTTCTAACATCATTTCACGGAACCATGTGACATGGCTGCTTCAGAACTACAAGAAACAGGTGAGTCTGTGTTAGGTGTAGTCAACTAAATGATTTTGGGGAGGATCCTATTTGGCCATTTCAACATACCCATATGGACAACAATTGTAGTTCTTATTATTTTATTTAAATTTCTGCTTGTTTTGGAGGATCAACTTACACAGACATGGTTTCCCTTTTAGCCTTGGAATTCTATGATTGACAAGTCATCATTCAGAGTAGAATTTTTGCCTTTGAACTACTTCGTTGAAATTCTGACAGATATAGAATCCTCCAATCAAGGTAATTCACTGCTCTGTTCTCAGGGTCTTCAGCTTTTCCTTTGATACATCAGTTAGTCAAAAAGTATTTTCTTCCCAAGATACTTTTTACTTGAAAGTACATTCTTGCTGCAATTTGTATTCATTAGAAATTTGTAAAATGTACCACCTAGAGTAAGTTATCAAAGGAATAATCACCTTTGATGTTTTAAAAGGGTAGAAGTTTAAAGCCTGTTTGGTTGATCTGAATGCTCTTTCTTGGTGCTAAAGTTTAATAAAATTTAATAGCACCTTCTCAGAATAACACAAAATATAAAATGTGATTTCAGTGAGCTGTGGGGCACAAAGTCATAAATGTTCCATGGGTCCATAGTAATTCTTTCTCCCTCATCCCCACTATTTTTTTTTCTTCCAGCTCTGTGTGCTTTTGAAGGACATGACAATGTGGATGCAGAATTTGTAGAAGAAGCAGCTCTGAAACACACCACAATGCTTTTAGGCCTATAAAAGAAAACACAGTTGGATCTGCTTCTGTGATTTGAATCTCACGCATTAACTTTACTCTTGTTGAGAATTCTTTACCAATATTTAAAATTGGTAAGAAAAATCTGAATATGTTGTTGAGCCATCTGAATTTCAGTCTGGTATTTGTTCAGACAGAACTCAACTTCTATACCTTATTCCAATTTTGAATTGCCATTGAACTGTCAAATGTAGAGAAATGGACAGCCCAAGGAGGGAGACAGTGGCGTAAACCATGCTCTTCCTAGTAGCTCATCTTTCTTGTAGCTTAAAGGCCAAGAGCTAGTTTCTGTTGCATTCCGAAATATGCTTTAAAAATGGAGGGAACAATGATCGGAGAGCAAAAACTAGGTACATCATTGAAATAACATATAACAAGCAAGAAAATTAAACGGTGCCCATGAACACTACTTGGAAAGAAGCTACTAAAAGAAACCAACAAAAACACTGAATTTGGACTAAATCTGCCATCTCCTGTACAGAATAATTTGTAACATATAGTAATTTATACTTAGTTTTTAGTGTAGGGTTTGTTTATTGATAGTGCAGATGAAACTGTATTTATAATAATTGTTTTATATTTATGGAAATTTGATTTAAAATTTGAGTATCTTGTCATTAAAAAATATTGAAAGTTTTGGCTTGACTCTTCCTGTTTTTGAACATGGCCTTGACTTGAGCCAGGAATCGTCAGTCCATGAGGCCCTCATGGCATTCAACTTGTTCTACCATTTTCCTTTTTCTTTTCTACAGTGACATAACTCTGAGCCAGGGTCAGCCCATTGCCCTTTCCTTTTCTTTCTTCACATCAAACTTATGAAATATCAATGATTATAAATACCATTTAATTTCTTCTCTAAAATCATTGGGTTGTAAAAATTGTCCTCTCCTGTAGAATTTCTCTTTTTGGTCGAATACTTCATGGCCATCAAGTCTCAAAATCTTGGAGCCAAATCAGCAATGTAGTGCTGGGTCTTTCTCTTGATAAGGTCATTATCTTTCGATCCCTGCTTTCATTCATTTCTTTTCATACCTACATTGTTTCAGTTGCTTCCTGTGGTCTAATATATCCAACACATATTTGAGATAAACTCTAGTTTGATCTAGTCACTCTGCTCATAATCCTTCAATAACTTTCATTCATCATAAGTAAAATTTACACTCCTTGATATACAAGGTCTTCCAAATTCCAGCCTTATACAATACAAATGACATTTCAGCACATGGTGCCCCCTTACTTGTCTAAAGCAGTAAGAACATGATGTAATATTTAAACATACATCTCTGTGTGATTTCTAAAAATTATTTTTCCATTTCCATTGGTCACACTTCCCATGTGTATATTTTTTGAATCTTCAGTGAGATTACTGATTGCAACAACACAGGAATAATGTTCAAGTATGCAGTACTTCTTTGTGTTAAAAACATGTGTTACTTATCAAAGGCACTCCCAGTACAAACCAATCAATCAGGTTAGATTTAGGACTCATAGCTTGAGAATGAGATTAAATTTCCCTCTAGCCCAATAGGATGGGAGCTTGAAACAGATTATATTTGATTTGGCAAAATAAATGGATGTGATATTTCTTGCTCTGAGTGGTGACATAAAATTTATAACTACTATCGCTATTAAAGATAGTTTCAACACATTAGTGGGTGTAAAATTGCAGCTTTCAAACCTATGCATGTATCCTTGTACATGAGAAAATATATCAAAATTAGGAAAATACACTCGAGTGAAATACAGTGAGATCAGAGTAATGAAGAAAAGTAGAACAGGCCTCATTTTCAAGTCTTTCTACTGCTATCAAAGTTATAAATATTTTCATTGAGATTTTGAAAAATCTAGTCTCAGCACTTAATCATGAGTTTAGTTAGAATAATATGAAAAATCTGGATTTGTAAGAAAGATAAATTAAGGGCATAATTATTTTTGCAACAAGAGGATTCTTGTAAAATGAATCACAATAACATTACAAATGACAAGTCTCACTACTGCTTTTTGCATGATTTAGATTTACCAACATTGACTTCAAGTGCCACTTCCTGGTCAACAAAGTGAGTTATGCCTATGTGATACTGGGATAGTTTCCTTTTCAAATAGTCATTCTATCTTTCTTTTAAAAGTACATATAACGAATAGCATTCTTTTTTCTTTAATGAGCAAAGACCACTCTGCTAGTTTCTGTCCTTCATTGAAAATTGTTTTATTTTTGGTGCATTTTTATAGCATCTTGCCAACTACGTATTTCTGAAATGTAGACAATATAAAGAGTGAAAAAGATATAAGCAAATATATTCTTTGACATACTTGTAAGTCAATTTTATGTCCCAAACATTATGTAAAATATAGTTGGTGGGTGTAAACAGAAACCATGTCCTACCTCCGTTGTTGATTAATTGTGGTTACCTTATTCATCTGTAATTTTACAACTATTTTGTTCACATTTTCCAGCTGTGGGTATAAGGAAGCCTGGGTGAAGTCCTGTCCTTGAGAGGCCCGGACTGGTTTACACATTCAGATTTCAATTGGCTTTATAACAGGTTTCCTTATGTGCCTCATATTAGCTCCAGGTTCACTGGGCTTAAAAGGAGCCAGAGCACCATATGGTTTTGGTAAAGGAAGAGTGGCGTCTGCTTCTGGGATGTAGGCATTTGGACGCTGCTCTGCAGTTGTGAAAACTCCACTGGGCAGCTGGCGACGGTCTACTTCAAAGTACTCCTGCAAAGAATGATTTTTCCTTTACAGTTTTCTGAAAACTCTAGTGAAATCACTTCATCCTTGGGTCCCAAACATGTACACAGCTGTCTGAGCACTCTCTGGGGAGTAACAGCCAGCACAGCCAAAGGACAGAAGGCGGGGGGTCACCAAACACATGCACACGTGCGCACGTTGTATCTCACTGGAATGGGCTGGACTGCTCTAGAATCACACTGCTCTTGGGGTTTAGGTTTTGTAAAAAATTGCATGGTGGGTCCTAGGTGTACTATGTTCCAACCTCAACATCTGTTACCAAGCACTAATTATTCCTCTATGTTTGACAAAGGCAGGACAACATATTTCCTTTGGTAAGTCATTGATGAGAAAATGTTACAATAGAAGAGATAACAGACTAAAGTGGAAGCAGAAAAATGGGCAACAGCTTGCTGTGAGCCTCAGAGTCTTTAAGATTCTGCCTGTGCCCTTGAATAATAATCTTTTACAGCCATAAAAAGAACTTTACGTAATGGAGATGGGTAAATGACAGTGGGACACCCCAGGTAAAATCTGAATGTCCTAAAATGTCTAGTTTCAAGTGGTATGGAAATTATAAACCAGACTCTGTGCTCAGGTATTCGTAGTGTGCGTTAGGCAGTGAATGGTAATCCTTTTGGTGACATCATTTCAAAATCTAAGAGTCAGTTACAGATCCCCAGGATGGAGTCTCCTTGGAAAGAAATGCCTAATTCTCTTCTAAGAATGTTGAATGGTCATGGGAGTAGACAGAGGAACTGGATACTCAACCTGCAGGTGAAACCAGTGATAGACTCAGACTAGGCCAGTGGTGGCAGATGGAGTGGCACTGAGGCCTGTGGGGAGCATGTGCAGCATCTGCAGAAGCCCGTGGCCACCACAGTGTGGCTGCAGGCCTCACAGTGTGTTGTGGAGCCCAAGCACATGGGCATGGAGGAGTCAGGTGTGGTCAGCAGGGATGGGAAGACAGAGACCAGAGACCCATGGATAAAGCCAGTGTCAGCCTGGGCAGTGCTATGCCGGGGGGAAAGCCAGGACATAAAGCTGCAGGTGGGCCTTGATGCTTTCCAAGTGTCTTTCGGGGGTATTGTGGCACTTTGGACTTCTGTACTTATTTACATAATATCTAAAAAAAGAAACTTGTATTGACTGTTCAGACTATGTATGTGGTAGAGTGGGAAATTGTTCATGTGTTGTGGAAATATTGACACCCCCCCTCCCCCAGGAAAACTGCCCCTCTTGGCACACTTTACAAGTGCAGGGCAGGAGCCAACGCTTACCTGAGGCTTCTCACTGATGGCCCAGGCGTACATTTCTTCATCTCGAAGTACCTTCAACCATTCTTTCTCAATCTCCTTATTGAGTGGCAGACCCTTTTCCATCCTGGAACTGCAAGAGAAGATGAATTCTTCTTTCTCCTTGACTTCCTTCTGGAGTTCAATGGTCAAGGCTTGTTTCATGGACAGCTCAGCAACAAGAGCCATTATTTTTTCAGTAGCATCTTTGATCCTTCTCTGATAGCCATTCATCTAGAATTAAAGACCACAGGAGTTAGTCTATGTATACATGCCACGAAGACTTGAAGGAAGTGGCAGGCTTCTCGCTGTCTATAAGGGTGGGAGGCATTCTTGTCCAAAGGAAGGACAGTTCAACTGGGACTTTGTAGAAATTAAGATCTGGAAGACATGGAGCCCAACACTCTGGTTGTGTAAATAAGGTCAAAGAGAGAAAAGTAAATGATTTGTTACCTAATTACTGGATTTCAAGGTAGATAGCATTGAGGGGAAGAGTTTGATGTCTATTTTTTAAGAGATGAGAAGGAGAGGAAAAAATGTTCCTGATGCCTAATTTTGTCCTGCTATCTCCTTTTGCTCACATGTGCCCACTGATTAGTTCCCAATTATGAAAGAGTAAAGGAGTAGGGTGCCGGCCCCGTATGCTGGAGGTTGGTGGGTTCAAACCCAAACCAGGCCAAAAACTGAAGAAAAAAAAAAGAAAAGAAAAGAAAAGAAAAGAAAAGAAAAGAAAAGAAAAAAAGAGTACATGTGATGTTTGTTTTTCCATTCCTGAGATAGTTCACTTAGAATAATAATGAAGTTCTATCCAAGTTGCTCTAAATGATATTATTTCATGTCTTTTTATGGCTGAGTAATACTCATGGTGTATATATGCCACATTTTCTTAATCTACTCATGAAATGATGGGCCCTTAGGTTGTGGACTGTGCTGCAATAACATTTGAGAGCTGGCATCTTTTTGATAAAATGACTTATTTTCCTTTGAGTTGATACCTATTAGAGAGATCTCTGGGTCCAATGGTAAGTCTACAATTATTTCTTTGAGGAAACTACACTGTTTTCCACGGAGACTACAAATTTGCAGTCCCACCAACAGTGTGTAAGTGTTCTTTTCTCATTATTGTTTCTTGAATTTTAAGTAACGGCCATTCTGACAGGGGTTAAGTGCTATCTCATTGTGACTTTAATTTTGCATTTTCCTGATAATTAATAACATTGAGCATTTTTTCATGTATATTGGCCATTTGTCTGTTTTTATTTATTATTATTATTATTTTTTTGAGACAGAGTCTCAAGCTGTCACTGTGGGTAGAGTGCAGTGGCATCACAGCTCACACCAAACTCAAACTCTTGCACTTAAGCAATTCTCTTGCCTCAGCCTCCCAAGTAGCTGCGGCTACAGGCGCCCACCACAAAGTTGAAAAACTTCAGTTCATGTCTTTGGCCCACTGTTTAATTTTTTTTTCTTACTGATTTGAATTCTTTGTAGATTCTGGGTATTAGCTTTTATCAGGTATTGTTTGCAAATATTTTATCCCACTCTGTAGGTTGTCTTTTTACTCTGTTGGGTT